TTATTTACAAGTAAGTATTAGGGGATAGTTGTAGCGAAATCATTAATTGAAGCGATAAAAAGTAAGGATAATTCACTACAGCTCCTTCATGATACCTATTTCCATGCCTAATATCCTTTTCGAAATCATTGTAACCTAGTGTTATGGAAATAGGACAATCTTCTATTATTGTTTAGCTCTAAAATTAGTATTTTGTGCCCTCAAAATCATCATCTCTAATCAGTTAGGAATTAGGTTGGGAATAATAGCACATTGTTTTTTATTTCCGTAATTCAAATACTACATAAAAGTTTTGTAGCCTTCTGTGTTCTTGTTGAAAATACAAAATGTATCTTTTTCAGCCTGTAAATGGTACTTCTGAACACGAATCTGGAGGAACGATTTTTAGCTTTGAGGATACGCCGAATATGTCCACCTATCTTGTTGCCTTTGCTATAGGAGACTTTGAATTCTCAGAGGTATGTTGCTGACTCTTGAGTATTTTTTCTTATTTATGCATATAGACGGTTTTTGTATCCTAATGATAACGATATGATGCTAAATACTCCTTGCATAGTCTTCGATACAAATGTAATCTGTCCAAACAATGAAATTTCCTACTTATTCGAAGGATTATAAAGGATCTTTTTATTGCTTATTCGTTCGTAGATTGGCTTGCAGACGGGGTAAGACTCCACATTTATTTTAATTAGGTCTGCTCCACGCAACTTAGTCGTAACGCCGCTTCCGGTGGTGTCGGTTTCCCTTTATCAGACGTATTTTATCACCATAATCTCTTCAAATGCGATCACCAACATTTATCTAAACTATGTAACTGCGGAGCGGACAGTTTAGAATAAAGTTAGGTTTAGTAGGAAGTTTCCTGTCATCCAAGCCCCTGATATGTATCCTTAATTCTCATCTGTCCAAAGCTTCACTTCAACTATTCTCACAGCGCTTTGCTGAGCTTAAGCTCATTTCGTGTAAAAGCGTAGTGGCGTGATATTAGATACCATCACTAGATGATGGAGGATTTTCCTAGATATTCTTTTTAACTGAAACAAGAGACTCATGCCGACTCAGCCACTTTTGGTTCATGTAAACTTGTTCGGTATAACAAGCATGATCAATGCCGAAGCTCATTTATATTACTTCAGGCTTTCAACAAATAAGGAAAGCTTACAAGCTGTTCCTTATTTGCCACACATCCAAAATGTTCAAGAATTTGATAAATTTAGTTCACATTTATCTTTACTTGTTGAGATTTATGCATTTATGCATTCACTCTGTTACAAAATCCCAATGATCCTTTTGAGTAATTATAGATGAGCTCAACATCTGTCATAAATAATCTGGGTTGATTAACCCTCTTTTTCAGAGGAACGCACTTCTGCCATTCCTTTCTATCTGACACGTTCAATTACTTTCTATTTAACTTTCTATTTCCATTTACAGCATTCAGCGTACTCCTCATTCTTGATTTCTATCGTCCCCATAACCTTATACTTTACAGTAGACAGAGTTACTCGTCAAACCGAAGATTCTAAAGTTGATATGTCTTGTCTACAATTTCTGCCTTATGCTCGGTCACTTGTTCTTCTATCCTTTAGTGAATTTGGCATCAGCCTGACTTGGCAAAAGGGTCAGATTTCTTTAATAAAGTGGACAGAAACAAAGAAAGTTTCTAACTTTCTTTGAAATACGTTTTGCTACTCTATGTTCCTAGAAATTAGCCCATATTCTCATAAAAATAATCAAAATGCAAAAACAACACATGACAAAAGGTGGAGATTAATCATCATCCAACATTGTATTCCTCGTCATTTTGATGTTATTTTAATCCATCCTAGAGGATTATTATTATCCAGCTACAACTACTTATGCTTGTTTAACCACCTATCTCAATAATTCCTATACAATGATAATACTCCTAATACTAATCTATTTAAAGATTTCAGCCTTTGCTTTATAACTAACCTTTTGGGAAATATTTATAGCGAAACCATTATGCGCTACTTCCGTATTATTATTATTATTATCATTATTATTACTCATCACATTTCTATCATAACCGAAGGAGAATCGCTCTAGGACTGTCAGCATAGGCGCCATATGAAAATGAAGCAGCAGGCCAAGTAGAATCCGTCGTCTTCTGATGATACCGTCCTACGAACCTCTTCTCATCCACTTTTACACCCAATTATATCTAAACTCAACTGGGATACATCAGGAAACTCATCGAAAACCGGTTACTCTTCTACTCTGCTCTTATCTTTTGTCTCTATATTATCTTAGTTTAGAAAACTATGCAATTTAAGATTTACGACGCTTGTTTGTTTCCGATCGTTTTTGATAATTAGTTATTCTGACCTCTGACACTAGGTAACCTATATTGAATTAAATCAATGGTTGTAAGACTTTAGTTATTCTTACTAAATTGGTCTTGGTTACCAGAACGATCCTCATTTAAACTTAAACTGTAGATACGAAGAGAAACTGGGTTTCGATGAATCTCTTGAGATAACATTGTTAGTAAGACTTTTATTTCCTATGAAAGTGAATGAAGAAGAGATCCGTTGGTCGATCTCACCAGATGAGGACGGATGAAACTCGTTCTACTGCAGCCGTTTGGCTCTTATACGATATTCATGTTGACGCAGTCCACGAGAATTCCTCGTTTCAAGTAAAAACGTGCTGAGCTTTCGTCCATCATATATTGGACATCATCAGAGCTGCGTGTCATTCATGTAAAAGTCTCACGTTAACACTACAGCAAGAACACTATCCGGCTCTATTTTACTTCTTATATAGACTCAATTGAGCCAAAAAAATTAAAAATTAAAAACCTAGATATATCGACATAGAGTGGTTTGGGTAATTTTATTTCAAACTGGTTCTGTTATTTTTGCTCGATTGTATGAGTATGTATATTTGTGCGTTCTGATCCTCAAGACCTAATAATCCAAGAGAAAATCTTTTATCGAGACTGCCTAGGTCCGTAAATCAGTATGGTTGAGATAATTAAATATGAGCTTGTAAGCATGATGATCAAGTTACGAAATCACTTGTCCTAGTCTTACAGTCAAGGGTCATTAACGTTTAACTCTCCAAGGAAAGGCATGCCTGGGGTTGCGTAATCTGACATTTATGGTTTGTTTGTAGAGCTTACTCTAACAGTTTGGGCGAATGTGAGTGAAATTAGAACCATCACTGAGCAGACAAA